CTGCATATGGATATCCAGTTCTCCCAGCACCATTTGCTGAAGAGGCAGTCTCCTCCCCAGTATATAGGCTTGGTGCCTTTGTCAAAGATCAGATGGCTGTAAGTGTGTGGGTTGACTTCTGTTGTGTCTGTTTTTATACCAGTACCATGCTGTTTTGGTTATTATAGCTTTGTAGTATAGTTTAAAGTCAGGTAGTGTTATGTCTCCAGCTTATTTTTTTTGCTCAGCATTGCTTTGGCTATGCGTGGTCCCATGGCTCACTCGGGAGAGTGCGGTGCTGATAAATCATCCATTTAAAAAGAATACAGAGAATAACTCTCAAGTAATGAGATGGGTTTATTTTCCCTGATCTGCAAATATACCAAACATATCACACCTCTGAGTAGGTCCTTTGGTTTCAACAGTTACAAAATTTCTATTTTGAAACTGCTTTCCAACTTAGCTTGCCAGACACAATAAGAAAATCAAAGACTCTCTTGGTCTATAAACTTTTTCTCCTTCTCTTCCTCCCTCCTTCTTATCTTTTGTTATTTTTATTTCTAACACTTTCCTTGACTATTATGAGTACACGTGTGTCTATAGACCAAGATACCCCAAAAAGGGGCTGGGCTCGTGTTGATACTGACCTGAAATTAGATGACTATTGAGGTCCCTTCAAAATCTGAGATTCTAGGAGATTCTAGAATTAGGTTAATAATCATAATAATACCCAGAATTGAGCAATTTACGATATGCCTGGTATTGTGCTATTTGGGAAATTTTTGGAACATATCTTTTGGACCGTTGTCACGGCCTACATCACATTCTTTGAAATAGCTCCACTTTCTTTGTTTTTGCCAAAATTTACTCTGAGTTTCATCTGGTAAACAAGGTAGGTATCCCTGTTGTCTTTTTTTTTAATGGTTATGAATATTCATGGGGTAAAAAACTGATTGTCACCACTTGTGCCCAAGATGTGATGGCCAGATACATACTGGCAGCATGCCTTTTACCACAAATTGTGATTATACCCCTTGTCCCCCACCCAATTATCCCCGACCTCTCTCCCCATCCCCTTTTCCCCCACTCCACTTTGTATGCTCTCCCCCTCTGCAAGTCCAACACACCACTGTGGTCTTTCTTTCCTTCCTTCTTTCTCTTTTAGCTCCCAATTATGAGTGAGTACACACAGTATTTATCCCTCTGTGCTTTGGTTATTTCACTCAACATAAGTTTCTCCAAGCTCATCCATGTTGTTGTGAATGGGAGAATTTCATTCTTTTTTATGGCAGAATAGTATTCCATGGTGTATATATACCACAGTTTCCTTATTCAATCGTCCATCGATGGACATTTAAGTTGGTTCCATATCTTGGGTATTATGAACAGAGCTGCCGTGAACATGGGAGTGCAGGTATCCCTTCAACATGATGATTTCCATTCCTTTGGGTATATACCCAGAAGTGGAATTGCTGGATCATATGGAAGATCTATCTGTAGTTGTTTGAGAAACCTCCATACTGTTTTCCATAGTGGTTGTACTAACTTACAGTCCCACCAGCAGTGTAGGAGCATTCCCTTCTCTCCACATTCTTGCCAGCATTTGTTATTCTCTGTCTTTTTGGTTACAGCCAGTCTAATTGGGGTGAGGTGATATCTTCATGTGGTTTTAATTTGCATTTCCCTGATGACTAGTGATGTTGAGCATTTTTACAAGTACCTATTGGCCATTTGTATGTCTTCCTTTGAAAAATGTCTATTCAGCTCCTTTGCTCATTTTTCAGTTGGGTTATTTGTTTTTTTACTGTGTAATTGCTTGGGTTCCTTGGATATTATGGATATTAATTCCTTGTTGGATGCATAGTTAGAAAAATTTTTCTCCCTTTCTATAGGTTGTCATTTCATTCTGTTGATTGTTTCCTTTGCTGTGCAGAAGGTTTTTAGTTGATATAGTCCCATTTGTTTATTTTTTCTTTTGTTGCTTGTGCTTTTGGGCTCATACTCATAAGGTCTGTGCCCAAACCTAGTTCCTGAAGTGTTTCACCTATATTTTCCCTTAGTAATTTTACAGTTTCAGGTCTTATACTTAAGTCTTTAATCCATTTTGAGTTGATTTTAGTATATGGCAAAAGGTACATATCTAGTTTCATTCTTCTGCATTTGGATATCCAATTTTCCCAGCACCACTTATTGAAGAAGCAGTCTTTTCCCCAATGTCTTTTTTTGTTGCCTTTTTCAAATATCAGATGGCTGTAAGCCTGAGGAGTGATTTCTGGGTTCTCTATTCTGCTCCACTGGTCTGAGTGTCTATTTTTATGCCAGTACCATGCTGCTTTGGTTACTATAGCTTTGTAGTATAATTTGAAGTCAGGTAGTGTTACTGACTTTATTTTTTTTTGCTCAGGATTCTCAACAAAATATTAGCAATCAGAATATAGCAACACATCAAAAAATCATACACCACAATCAAGTGGGATTCATCCCAGGGATGCAAGGATGGTTCAACATATGAAAGTCAATAAATGTGATACATTGCATCAACAAAATGAAGGACAAAAACCACATGATTATCTCCATAAACACTGAATAAGCATTTGACAAAATTCAACATTCCTTCATGATAGACTCTTAACAAACTAGGTATAGAAGGAAAGTATCTCAACACAATAAAAGCCATCTATGACAAGTCCAGTGCCAGTATCATTCTGAATGGGGAAAAACTGAAGGCTTTTCCCTTAAGAACAGGAACAAGACAAGGATGCACACTCTCACCACCTCTATTTAACATAGTACTGGAGGTACTAGCCAGAGCAATCAGGCAAGAGAAAGAAATAAAGATGGTCCAGATTGGAAAAGATGAGGTATCCCTGTTGTCTTAAAGTAATTAATAGCACCCTCTTTTCTTCTTAGAAGTGTCCCAGTTTGGACAATAAGTTATATGGTCACTCTGCTCATATATGTCTTTTAGAAATGAGTAATTCTAAAAAATAATGCACCCTGTGCTGGATATCTTCCATTTTTCATTGGGAAGCATAGGCAGGAGATCAGAAGAAAGGAGGAACATGAGGTTGGTGTATTTATTCTTCTGGACCCCTCTCCTGGGGATTGTCAGAGGTGGAGTACCCACTAAATGCTGTATCCCTTAAACATTGTGGTTTCTGTCAGGCCACACTCTCTTCATAGCTCTCCCTAAATCTCTACCAGGTAACCATAACCATTTGCTTCAGTGGTGGTTCCCTATGAAACAGACTCTGATACAGAGATTTGCATAGGAGACTTACTGCAGAGAGATCTCAGGATCGACCCCTGTGAGGAGTGAGAGATATAGAGCTGAACAGGGGGAGCAGTTAATTGTGATGCCGTTACAACAAAGTCCTCAGCTGATCTGGTCTGGGGAGTTCTGTAGTTACAGCCCTTATTTTGGTCCCAAATTGAGACAAGGGGGCTTTGTACCCTGCATCAACCAGTCATTAGATGTGGCTACCCTGGGGAGAAGGGTAATCATGGGCCAGGCGTAGACCTGAGAGGATCTCAGCTGTGTTCTATCAGTCACTAACATTCCAGGCAGGTGGGAGAATGAGCACTTCAGTTGCAAGTGGAGGAGGGGGAAAAAGATCCAGGCAGCATACTACTAGCATTCACTACACCATTTCCTCTGCTTGACTCTAAGACCTAAGGTTGGTTGTGTCCTGATATTGCTAGTCCCAAACATTCTGTATTGTGTCTTATTTCCCTCCATCTTCTTCTTACCCTGGGAAATTGTCCTTTTATGAAATTCTCCTCAAATTACCTGATTTGAACCATCTACGAGTATTTCCAGCCCCAAATACTAATACTCCATGCAATGAATGGCCTAGTCTTAATTGTTTATGTGAATACCTAATTTCCCCTAACTTGTATTGTTTCATATGACAATAAGCCCAAATAGAAACAGAAAGTCCTACATTCCTTATTTTAGTGAATAGCACCACCACATCCTCACTCCAGTTGCTTCAGCCAAAATCTTCACATTGTCCTTGACTTCTCTCTCTTCTTTATCCTCAAATACTTTAGGTTCTACCTCTGGAATCCCTCTCCATCTGATCTTATACTCCCCAACTCCCCCCCACCACTTGTGTTCAGATAGATAATCAGGATCTCTTACTCATATCATTACAACTGTCTCCAAATTAGTTCTGATACCTCCAATACTTTCATTACACTAGAGCCAAAGTGATATTTCTTAAAGAAGTACAATTATGTCGCTTGCCTGCTGAAAACCTTTCATTATCTCCATTATCTTGGATTTTATACAAGTCCACACTCTTTAACTGAGCTCATGAGAGCATTTACCCATCTGACCACATCCTCCGCTCTCCTCTCCTCATGTGCTATGCTCTGGTCAGACTGAACTACTCTCAGTCCTCCTGATACCCCACGCTCTCTCACCCCCAGTCTTTGTAAATGCAGGTTCCTCTGCTTAGGCACTTGCTGCCCACCCTCCTCACTTAGTCTTCCCAACTTTATTCTGGCTAACTTCCCCTGATTTTCTAGATTTCGCCTCTAGGAAACTTTCCTTGAAATCCATTCCTCCTGAGTCCGAGTTGGGTGTCTTTCTATATGCCACCATAGAATCTTATACTTCTCCCATTAGAGCATTTTCCCCCCCACAATTTTATCATTGTCTGCCTACTTATCTCTTCCGCAGATATTATCTCCATAAGGACAGGAACATCATCGCATCCCTGGTGTCTAACAGTATACCCAGCATACAGAAGGACATCAACAAACATTTGATAANTTATCTTGGATTTTATACAAGTCCACACTCTTTAACTGAGCTCATGAGAGCATTTACCCATCTGACCACATCCTCCGCTCTCCTCTCCTCATGTGCTATGCTCTGGTCAGACTGAACTACTCTCAGTCCTCCTGATACCCCACGCTCTCTCACCCCCAGTCTTTGTAAATGCAGGTTCCTCTGCTAAGGCACTTGCTGCCCACCTTCCTCACTTAGTCTTCCCAACTTTATTCTGGCTAACTTCCCCTGATTTTCTAGATTTCGCCTCTAGGAAACTTTCCTTGAAATCCATTCCTCCTGAGTCCGAGTTGGGTGTCTTTCTATATGCCACCATAGAATCTTATACTTCTCCCATTAGAGCATTTTCCCCCCCACAATTTTATCATTGTCTGCCTACTTATCTCTTCCGCAGATATTATCTCCATAAGGACAGGAACATCATTGCATCCCTGGTGTCTAACAGTATACCCAGCATACAGAAGGACATCAACAAACATTTGATAAACAAATAAATTGATGCTGTACAATCCTCCACTTCTCAAATTGGGGTACCATTAGGAATATGTGATAGTGTAATAGGAACATAACAAATTTGACATATTCCTGGGGGCATCAGTTTTATCTAAATATTTTGGCGTAAAATGCATAACTTCTATATTGAAACAAAAATAGACATATAATGGGATGGAGTGAAAAATTCTTATACATTTTTATGACAAAGCATGAGATATCAAAGATATATCCCACTTGCTTTGTGTTCTTCAGACTCAACCCTGGAACCTATAGGGTCGTACTTTCCCTCTTTTGTTGTCAGGGATAGTCAATAAAAAAACTCAGAAATATGATACCATATTCCATGTTATGTTTTATACTAAAGTTCCTTGACTTTGAAATAGCACATATTTTATGCAAATAATTCTATAACATAGCTTCATATATAGCATTTGTGAACAAAAGATGGCTTTTATTTTTAACAATTCAGAATGTGATGTTTCAATAAAAAATTCACAACCATATACATCTGCATATGTGTTTGTACTGTATATATTATTAAGAACAAAGAGAAATGTGTTGAAGGATACAAACCAGATTGTTAACTTTGGCTACCTCATGGGAGTGGGCAGTTTGGTAGAGGGTGGGATGCCTTTACATCTTCATATTACATTTTTTGCTTACTACGACAAGCATGTGTTACTAATAAATTTGGAGGAAAAAGTAAAATAATGAGCATTTTAATAAGCAAAAATAAAGTCTGTTGATTTTGCCGATAGTTATCTCTGCAAATCCTGAAAATAAGACTTTATATTCCAATTCTTCTTACTGATATTTCATCACTAATTCTATTTTTTTAAAAAAGAAACCCTCAGTAAGTGTAAACTTTCTTTTTTTTAATTATAAATATTTCTGAGTGTATTTTTTTCAAATTTAAAAGAAGCCCAATAAACTAGTTATCTCTGCAAATCCTGAAAATAAGACTTTATATTCCAATTCTTCTTACTGATATTTCATCACTAATTCTATTTTTTTTTAAAAAGAAACCCTCAGTAAGTGTAAACTTTCTTTTTTTAATTATAAATATTTCTGAGTGTATTTTTTTCAAATTTAAAAGAAGCCCAATAAACAATTCTTAATTATGATTCTTAATTACAATTGAGCAACTCCTAATTATTTGTCATTTAAGCTTTCGGGTGTGAATTGGCATTCTGAAAACAGCTATCCACTTTTGGGGAAAGAGAGCTTAAGGAAGCAACTGGGGTTTACCTAGTTTAAAAGGTTGAAAGTGGGTAATTAAAGGTGGTAATATCCCAGTTGGATTTCACAAGCACTTAATATTACAAGCGTGTATGTTGGTATAGCAGGCATGTGTAACAGCTGGCAAAACAGCACTGTCTGTCATTGACTTTACAATGCAAAATTAGGGCTATCTTTTGTGTCAGAGGATATGCATTTTTAAGCAGATGTCACAGATATCAGAAATAAAACAACAACAGGGATCCAGGCCCTGGAGGTAATGTCAGAGTGGGAAACAGTCCAGGCCCCTTTCTAAATAAAGCCCACCCATGCTCATAACATTTAAATGAACACTGGGTTATGCTTAGCACATAAGACTTCTTATCTTTATGATCATTTGCCAGGTTTTTAAACTCTTTGGGAAAATAAATTTCTGGTCATGGTTTTATTTTTTTCTGAAACAATATATTTCATTGTTCTTGTAAATCAGAGATCTCCATTCAATCTCTGGTCTTGTGAACCAACCACGGCCCTCCTGAGATTGTTGGCAAAAAAATAAAAATTTAACTGAAGCAGCTACTTTATAAGGAAAAGCTCCTGTTACCACAGCATTCTGATTTTCATTAGAGCCTTTGTCACTATCTGGTAGTTTCTTATCGATGGTCTGTCTCCCCCACTAGAATGTAAGCTCTCTGAGAGCAGGGGCCTGGTCTGTCTTTTTCCTCCCAATGTACCTATAACAATCCTTGGCACACAGGAAGTACTCCACAGGCTGTAGCTGAACGGCCCCAGTGCTAACAAGTGCAATGACAAAGGTAGGAGCAGGCTACTTGAGGAGTGCAGAGGAGCCTGGACTGATACTTTACATGGGGATAAGCATACCTTTAGAAACACTGTGGTCGTTTATTTAATCATTCAACAAACCTTTACTGAGAGTCCCCTGGCATAATATAGCAATACACAAAACTGACACAGATCCTGCCCTCATTAAGCTTATAATCTAGTGGGAAGATGGACATTAAAAAAAAAAAATCATACAACTGTGGCAAGTGTGATGAAGGAAATCTACTGGGCAATATAAGCAATTATAAAAAGGGTACCACCTGATGGGTGTGCAACTCTGTGAATCTACTAAAAATCACTAAATTGAACATTTCATAAGGGTGAATTTTATGGTATGTAAATTATATCTCAATAAAGCTATTATTAAAAGGGGTGTCATAGTGGATAAGAGCACAGCTTTGGATCCCCACATTTCTGGGTTCATAATCCTGGCTCTGACACTTACTGAACTTATGTTCTCTTGGGCAACTTATTTAACATCTCTGTACCTTAGTTTCTTTACCAATAAAATAAAGACAACAACAGCACCTCCTTCCAGAATTGTTCTGAAGGTTAAACAAGTTAGTATTTCCAAAGCACTGACAACAGTACCTGTCACCCAAAAGAGGTAAGATATTACTTTAAGGGAGTCAGGGAGTGCTGTGGATAGAATGTTTGAAATGTTCATATGTTGAAATCCTAACCCCCAAAGTAATGGTATTAGGAAGTGGGGCGCTTGAGAGGTAATTAATCATGAGGGTGGAGCCCTCATGAATGAGATTAATGCTCCTATAAAAAGACACGAGAGCTTGCTTCCTCTCTCCTTGCTATGTGAAGATACAACAGGATACAATCTTCCTGTCTACAAAGCAGGAAGATTGCCCTCAGCAGACATCAGATCTGACAGCACCTTGATCTTGGACTTCCAGCCTCCAGAATTGTGAGAAATATATTTCTATTGTTTAAGCCACCCAGTCTACAGTATTCTGTTATGGCAGCCAGAGCTAAGACAGGGAGAGAACAGGAATCAAATTGGGAGAACACCCAACGGAGGCAAAGTGAGAAACCTCTTGAGCTCTATTCCTCACCACCTGAAATTTTCCTTCTTGGGCTCTGTTCAAAAATTTAAAGTTGTTATGTTTTATTTTGCTGCATGAAAAAAAAAAACAAAACTATTTTGTCATAGAATTTGACCATGCCATAAACATATCTGAAACAACAGTAACATGAAACTGTAGAAACAGACCTATATATTCATTATGTTTTCTAATTTAGAACCCAAAGCAAATTTCCTACCTTTACTTATTAAATATTTAACACCTTTATTGAGATATAATTCATATACCATACAATTTACCTTTTTAAAGTATATAATTCAATAATGCTTAGTACTGGTATATTCACAGAGTTGTGCAACCATCCCTACTATGCAATTCCAGAATATTTTCATCATCCCCCAAAGAAACTTCATACCCATCAGAAGTCACTCCCAGTCTCCACTCCTCCCAGCCCCTAGCAATCACTAATTTACTTTCAGTCTCTATGGATTTCTCTATTCCTACCTTGGCTCTTGGAAAGACATGTGGAAATGAACCGTGCTGTTTGGGGGGCTGCCAAAGTTTATCCTTAGATTCCAGAGGAAAAATAAATGATTTCTGATCAATTACAGTTGGAAGCAACCTGAGTAAAAAGAAATAGAATTTAACATCAAATCTGCTATCATAAAAGCTTGTCAAATTGTAATTTTAAAACAATGCTTCCTAGTTAAAATTATATTTTGTAGGAAATATTCTATTGGTAATTACAATAAATTGGACCAATCTTTAGCATTTTCACCACTGTAAAACTGCAGTTGTTTTATTAAGCACAGGAACTTCCAAAACTGATAATGACTATTATAGCATGAATAAAAAGCTCTATCTCTGGCTGAGTTTATACGGCTAAAAATTGACAGAATTATTACACTAGAAAACATTTCTTGGTAAAGAAAAAGACATAATGCTGTATTTTGCTTAATAAAATCAAATTACAGGATAGCTAATTTTAAATATATTCAAAATGATGGTCCCTAATTGGTTAATACTTACATTAAAAAAAATCTCTCCTATTTTATATAATCGCAAAGATTTAAAGATCAAAGGTGGTTAAAGATTTTACTTAGTAAGCAGTGGACAGTTCCATGGGAGAGCAATGTAAAAACAGTAAAATTATAAGAATGAGTATATGTGTGCCAGGATATGTCTTAAAATTTTTAATTTGAAAGTAAGTTCCAATTCTTTAAAATAAATTCAATAAAACAAAACTACCAATAACTCAATCCCTTGTCCACTTTTGTAAAATTATCATTAAAAATCAAATTATGAACTTCTGGTTTCACTCTAACATATAAAGAGCTTGAAGTTGTCACTCCGATACCACAACAAGAAAAACACTGAACAAAACAAAAAACAACTCTTCTTATATCCATCAGAGAATCAAGATCACAGGGCAAACTGCTGCACTAAAAACTGGACGGAGAGAGGATTCAGAGAATCATGGGGAGCAGAAGCCTAAGAGTAGAAGCCTACTGCTAGAGCCAGCACTAGCAAGAACACGAGGCTCAGTGTGGACTAGCCTGTGAGTTAAAAACTTGGGGGGCAGGGGCAAGTCTTAGAGTGTCCCACACTTTTGTGAATTTTATCTCCAGGACCCCTACCATGCTCTCACTGTGAAGATCAGAGAAAAAAATCCCCTCCTGCTTTCAGCATGGGAAGGAGAAAATACCATTTTGAAATACTCCCAGAGAGTTCTGGTCTTTGTTCTGCTCTCTGTAATAAAGGCCAGCTCTCAAGGAAAGCTATTTTACCAAAGCCTTACCTGACTCAGAGAAGGGCAATTAGCCAACTCCATCCCTCTCTAGCCTTCCTGTCTCATGTAAGGGTGGAAAAATGCTGAGAAAGTCTTCTAGAGGTAACAGCCCAGGGGTTACCAACAGACCCACCAAAAGACTGAGACCTAATCATAGGAGTATAGAATGCTTTCCCCCCCATACACACATTACCACACATCTACGGAGCCCCTAAATATTAGAGGATTATATGTGAAAGAACTGTAAGGTTCAGATATTATTTAAGAAGGAGTTTCTAGGGAAACTGGAGTTTCTAGGCTTCTGCTCCCCATGATTTTTTGAATCCTCTCTCTGTCCAGTTTTTAGTGCAGCAGTTTGCCCTGTGATCTTGATTCTCTGATGGATATAAGAAGAATTGTTTTTGGTTTTGTTCAAAGACAATGTTTTTGTTTTGTTCAAAGACAATGGAGGAGGCAAAAAACAAAGACACTGAAGGAAACTGAAGTATCAGACATGTACAGTTACAGCAAACAGTAAACACAGAATATTTCCTAGCCAGATAAACATAAACCCTCACTCTATAGGCTTACTTACTCCACTTGCTATTACCCAATACATCACATCTAGCTTTTGACAAAAAATTATGAGGCATACTAAAAGGCAAAGGAAAGAAAGAAAGAAGGAAGAAAGAAAGAAAATACTCTGAAGAGACAAAGCAAACATCAGAACTAGATTCAGCTATGATAGAGATTTTGGAATTATCATACCAGGATTTAAAATAAGTAGATTAATATGCTAAGGGCCCTAATGAAAAACTGGACAATATGCAAGAACAGATGGGTAATGTAAGCAGACAGACTGAAACTCTAAGAAAGAATCAAAAGGAAATACATTGTAAGAAATGAAGAATGCCTTCAGTGGGTTTCTTAACACAGGGAACACAGCCAATGAAAGAAATAGTGAATTTGAAGAAATGTCAATATACACTCATAAAACTTAAATGCAAAAAGGAAAAATAAGTGAACAAAACAGAACAGAATATCCAAGAGTTGTGGGACAATTACAAAAGGCGCAACAGGCACATAACAGGAATACCAGAAAAAGAAGAAAGGAACAAAGGAGTTGAAGAAATATTTCTGTAATAATGGCTGAGAATTTTCCAAAATTAATGACAGACACCAAACCACAGATCCAGGGATATCGGAGAACACCAACCAAGATAAATGCCAAACAAACCAAAACAAACAAACAAACCAAAAACTATACCTAGGCATATTATGTTCAAAGTATGGAAAACCAAAGACAAAGAGAAAATTTTATAAGAAGCCAGAGAGAAAACACACTTTACTTACTGAGGAGTAAAAATATGAATTACATTGGACTTTTCTTCACAAACCATGCAAGCAAGAAGAGAGTGAATTGAAATACTCAAAACATGGAAAGAAAAACCCACCAACTGGGAATTCTACATCCAGCAAAATTATCCTTCAAAGTGAAAAAGAAACACATCCTCAGACAATCAAAAATGGAGGGATTTGTTGTTAGAGACATGTCATGCAAAAAATGCTGAAAGAAGTTCTTTGGAGAGAAGAAAAATAACATCATATATGAGGCATAAAGAAAACCCAGGAATTCAGCACCGTGTTGTTCCTTGTGCCCTAAGGCCCATAGCTAGTCTGCCTTTTTCTCTCCACCTTTCAGAGTGCTCTTAAGTTGTTTTACTTAGCAGGAGGCATAGGCAAATGTATGTCTTCACTGCCTTCTTACAAGTGAAAACCTTTTGGTGTATTTTTAAAATCTTCTCACCTCCATGGATTACATGTTAGAAGTGAATTTCGATATTGACAACTGAATTGAAATATAATTTAGTATCCTTCTTATTTTCCCTCCACATACACTGTGAGGAAATTTTCCACATCATTAAAATTTCTTCAACAATATCTGTTTTAATAGCTACATAATACACATATAGATTGTTATAATGAATTTATTCTTTTACTGTTGATATTCAAGGTTTTTCTAAATTTATTGCTATTAGATATAATACTAAATTGAACATACTTATATAGAGTTTCATGTGTATCTCTCATTTCCTTTGATAATTCCTAGAGCTACAATTACCAAATTAAAAAATAATAATTTTCTAAATCTCAAATATGTTGAAAAATTGCTTTTAAGAAGCTTGTGCTAGAGCTGGCAGAAGTGTTCAGGGACCACAGGAGCCATGGGGAGGCCCCACTGACAGCTGGCAGGAGCGAGTGGAATGCCCTTGCATGGGTGGCCTGATGCTGCTGCCGACACCACCACCACACACAGGTGGCTTGCCACAGCCACTGCCACAGCCACCACCACTGCTAGGGCAGCCTCCATGTCCATGCAGGTGCCCACCAACCACTCAACTGCATTGACACAAGAAGAGTCAACACTGGAGCCCAGGCAAAGAGGTAAGAGAGGACAGGCCCCTGACCCAGTGGCCCAACCCACAGGGGGAATTATGTTGCCTCCCACAGTAGTGCATCAGGGGGTGAGAGATACCTGTGCAGCCCATACCACTGCCTTGATTGGGGGTGAGACACACGGGGAACCCCCAGAGAGAGTAGAAACCCATGTACCAAAATAGAGTAAGAAAGAAAACCCCGGTCACCACCAACCAATCCCCCAACTGGGGGAAGCAAGGACCCGGGAGGAACCTCTGCCTGTAGGAAAAAGGAAAAAGAAACCCTGCCCAGAGTCTTCCATTCAAACTGAGGAGCTCCAGTGTATCCCAGTGCACCTATCAAGGTCACAGGATGCTCGCCAGGGTGCCAATAAGCCAGCCCAGGGTCATCCTCTCCAGCCAAAAAGTGACAGGGCACCCAGGCACTTCTCCCAAGAACTCAAGAGCTCACCCACATCCTTGATGACTCAACACAGTGTCACTAACCTCAGAAAGAAATCACTAAATGCACCAGTGCCAAGGCTGTGGAGGCACTCATATGCAACTGCAACACTGAATATGGCTGAAATATCCACACAGAGATACACTACTGCATCTACCCAGAACTAAAAATCCTGACTTAAGAATCAATATAAAAACACACCTATAGAAGGAAGTCTCTCTCCTCAAAGCCCACTCCAGAGTAATAGAAGAAGCAACTGCCCTACCAGATGACAAGACATCAACATAAATATACTAGAAATAGGGGAAAATAAGTAAATATGACACCACCAAATGAGTACAATAATTCTCAAGTTCCAGACCCCATAGAGCAGGAAACACTTGAAATGACTGAAAAGGAATTCCAAGCAACAATTTTAAGGTACTCAATGAGATACAAGAAGATTCAGTTTAACGGTACAACAAAATAAGAAAAAGTATCTAGATTATGAAGGCTAAAAGATCACAAAACAAATTCAACTCAAAAAGGTTCTCTCCAAGACACTTTATAGTCAAACTGGCCAAACTCCGAGACAAAGAGTGAATCCTAAAAACAGTAAGAGAAAAGAATCAAGCCACCCATAAGGAAGTCCCCATCACACAACAGCAGACTTTTAAACTGAAACTCTATAAGCCAGAAGTAAATGGGATGATATATGCAAAATACTAAAAGAAAAAAACTGCCTACCAAGAATTCTACACCCAGCAAGGCTATCCTTCAGAAATATGGGAGAAATAGTGTATTTTCAGACAAATACTGTGAGAGTTCACCACTTCATGACAAGCCCTACAAGAAATACTCAATGGAGTTCTGCATTTGGAATCCAAAAAACAATTCCTGTATACCATGAATACACAAGAAAGAACAAAACTTAGTGGTATAATAAAAATGCAAATGAGAAAGAGAAAGAAACTATATTTTACCACCTCAAAAAA